AATATTTATAAAACATATTTATATGTCTTGGTTGTCATTTTCGAATAATTAATTTTTCTTCAGGGATTTCAGCGACCCCCGCCCATGTATACAGCGCGTGGACGAGTGCCGATGAATGCAGTTGCTACTCCTGGCGGTAATGTTATATCACCAGCACAACAATATCGCGCTATGAAACAACAACAAGCACAAAAAGAACGTCTGTTGCAGCAACAACAAAAACAGCAATTATTAGTGCCTGAAAGTGCAACGGCACGCAACGATCAATTATGTGAGTTTGAAGAAAGTTAATAGATAACAAACCTCAAAGCATTTAATTTAAATATTAAAATTTTTCAATAATTGCCAGTGTTCTCTTCTATGAAAAGATTTTGTTGTTATCATAGCTGTCGAGAACCATTTTTACTTCATAATTGATTTTTGTTATAAATAAATTGAAAATTTATACATTCTTGTATAGATACCTCTTATACATAAAAGTACACTTTTTTATATCTGATATTAATTACTTGATTGCCTTAGGTTTAAATCCAGGTATTAATAATATTGGCACTTTGTTGAATACCACAGTAGCTCCAAACGTTTCGTTATCACGCACAAATATGCCATCAGATTCTCAATTGAGTCCCAATTTTGCTCAAAGCATGATGCAACAGCAATTAAGTCCAGGACAGCGTAATGCACTATTTAGCCCACAACCAAATCAAGGTAAGCAAAGTCATATTAAACGCTACTGTCTACAGTGTTCATAGTTAAAACGTAATTTCCTTCATCTCCTTAGGTTATGTACCACAATATCCGCAGAATGCACAACGTTTGTCACCGCAACAACAACAACAACTGAACCAACAAGCTAATGCCCAACAGCAGCAGCAACTTTCTTTCCAGAATGCACAGGGTCAGGGTGGTGTTAGTGTTGCAGCACAGCTGTCACCACGTCAACCAACCTACGGTGCTGGTAACGCTGGTGGTAATGCCGGCGTTGTACAATCACCAGGCATGTCGAATGCCTCACCACAGCAGTGGGTAGCTGCAGCAGCAGCAGTTGCAGCCAATAATGCCAACAATGCAGCACAACGTGGCGGTCACTCATTGCAGCAACATAACCCCATGTTGAGTGCGCAATTACAGGTAAATGTGAGTTGTATTACTATGTTTATAAGATATAAGCCATATCTGATCAATAATTAAATGTATTTTCATTTTCTTAGGGTGTAAGTCCGTATAATGCGCGCCAATATCAAAGTCAACGACGTGGTCTTAACTCACCAAGTGGTGCAGTGCCTGGTAGTATGACAACAGTTACTTTACAGCGTCAAAACTCGTTTCAAACAAATGATAGCGGTTTCAGTGGTCCATCAACATCGCCATCGCCACAATCTCCATACGGTGCTGGCACCACTGTATTTCAACAACAACAAATGCAACGCATGCAACGCCAAAGCAGTGTGCCACAAGCAACACAACATTTGCCTGGTGAGTAGTAAAAAAGTTTTTTAAACTGTTTTTATTGTATTTTAAGTTACCTTTTTCGCTTAGGCAGAAATTTAAGTAGACCTAACCAAACAGTCTATATAAGCTATTAGTATAAAAATGATATTATTTCGACAGAATTTTTTAATTATATGTAGTTGTTTTATATGAACATGAATTGCCTGACTGTAAAGACACTAAATAAAAGTTATTTAGCTCGGGTGAGTATTTACTGCCTTTGGAAACAATTTTTGGCGGTTTCATTGAGTTCAAAGCTATTTAGGTTACATGTAGTTTCAGTTAATAATATTCATAACATGAGTATTAAAAATAAATATTTTTTTGTCTAAATAAATTTTTACTTGCGTTGTACACAAATTGAACGCAGAAAGATTGCTACAAACTGAAAATAACTTCTTAAAATCGCTTACTTAATTAGTTAGTTGTCTCATAAGGTAATAAGTTAATAAGTTAATAATTCATTGCGAAAATTATTAAATGTTTATAACTTTATTAATAACAAAACTGTAAAGAATATATTGTCTATAGCAAAATTAGCGTACTACAATACTTTAATGGTACAACATGTAGTTAAAGGAATTTATGCCCATTACTACTACTAAACTAACTGCTCCACTAATTAAGGAACTTAAAGTACTAAAATTTAGGAGTATAATATTAAGTAACTAAATCAAAAAAAAATCAAGAAAAACTTACAAATATACATATGCAGCACTCTCGCTCATACACAATTTTTATTTTTCGCTTCAAATTAAATTAACAAAACAGGCTCACCACGCCCTTTTGGCGGTACAAACTCTTCCAATCTTGATAATGGAGGCGTCGTCGGTGTCAATAATACCCTTAGTGGTAATATTAGCATCAATGGTGGCAACGGTGGCGTTATACCAATCAGTGGCAATGGTTATGGAGGTGCTGCCGGCATGATGTACAATAATATGCCGTCACAGGGTGGCCCACATACACCAAATGATTTCTATGGTCGCACACAGACCGGTAAGCCGAAGAACTGTTCATATAAAAAGCACAAAAATCCCCGCAAACAATTAATTTTTTAATGTAACAATTAAAAAAAATATATATATATACATATCTAAAACAAAACTGTTAATAATAATTATGCAAGAAAAAACTGTTTGATGTTCAATACATATCTACATGCATATATAATTGTTTATATCTTCATTTATATATACCATCTAATATATATATTATCATATAAACTACACACATATAAATTCTCAGCCAAATACATATACAATTGCATATTCTACTACATATGTATATGTAAGCTAAATGTTGTGTTAACATAAAGACGGTCTTTATTTATAATATCCTTTCATGTTCATCATCAATTATCACCCAAGGTTTCTTGTATATAGGTTATTGTTTTACAAACCGGACGGATTTTGGCAAAAAATGACCTCATGATCTCCGATTTGGCTAAAAATTTTTTTATGAGTTCCTTTCATAAAATTAAAAGACGCGTATCTCGGGAAAAAATTTTGTAATTCTTTTCCTAGGAGATACGAACCCATAGGGTTTTGAGAATTGGCATTGTAGACACATTTTCAAATGGCTACATCTCAAGTTCTATAAAAGATAGAAACTTGAAATTTACAGCGTTTCAAAGATAATTGATTGAACTTTTATGAAATAGTTTAAACAATTAAAATTGTTTATATTTAAGTACTAATATTAACCGTTAAATTTCAAAACTATTTTTTTTCTCCATACAGTTTTGAAAATTATTATTTATATATTATTTGGATTCACTTTTAAATTTTACTACGAAATAAAAATTTTCGAGATACCATCTTTTTTTGAAATTTTTTAATATTTTTTTTTCTCCCGCAAAACACATCAAGCACATGCGTACTACATTTCCATTAAATGAATTTTCAAAGAATATGATATAAATATTCTTATATAATATTTTTGATTTCGATTAGTAATAAAATTCTATATAAAACTCAAACATTTCTGGACAATATTGTCATTAGAAGTACTTTTAAAAATTTATTTATCCTTCATATCAGACCAAACACGTACACACGATTTTTCAGTACAAAAAAAAAAAAGGTTTATATCACACAAATTTTTGTTTTTACTTCTAATTCAGATTAATATATAAATTCTACTTAAAAAAAAAATATTTCCACTGTGATATTTCGTTTAGAAGTAATTAAAAAAAATTAATGTTTCAATGTTTCAATCCGTTGAAGTTGAAAATGCATCCAAACAAGGCCAAAGTAAGGCAAGTTTCAGATTACCATATATTCTGCGTATGTTGCGGATGCCTACGACTAAAAAAAATCTGAAGACAAAAATATGTTATACTTGCCGACTTAAGCTGGAGATGAGGGCCAAAAATAATAAGAAAAATAAAGAAGGTATATTGGCAAACAATAGCCAGTCTTTGAACGAGGAAAATATACAACCATCAAGTAGTAGCAGTTCGGCTACATACGAAACTAAAATGAGAAAAAGTGCTGTTTGTCCATTAAACAAAGCATATATTGAGGTAAAAGCAATACCCCAATTACATCAAAAAAACTTAAACAACAGCAATATAAAAATGAAAAACTAAAGGATAAATTTTTCCAAATTCCTCTCGATGAATCCAACAATAGCCATGAAAGAAGATGACTTTGCATCAATTTTAAAAAATCTACAAGAAAAATTCAAGGGCACAGCAAATAGGACTATGAAAATAAAAATATTGAGTGTGGTACATAATTGGTCGTTTCGGAAAATTATAACTTACTTCCCAAACGCTATAAAACATATGATTTAAGTAGCTAAAAAGCTTGTTTCAGAAAAAGGAATCTTAGAAGACCCAAAAGTAGAAGATGCAAAAATCCACGCATCGCTAGGAAAACATTTAACCGATGCAATTTTAAATTTTTACGAATGTGATGAAAATAGTCAAGTAATGCCTGGGAAAAAAGACTGCGTATCCGTAAAAATTGACGGAAAAAGGACACAAATGTAAAAACGGCTCATTCTAAGCAATTTGAAAGAGTTGCATACTCTTTTTAAACTCAACCATCCGGACATTGAATGTAGTTTTTCAAAACTTGCATCATTATGACCACAACATTGCGTTCTTGCAGGAGCAAGCGGCACACATTCAGTTTGTGTGTGCTCCATTCACGAAAACGTACGATTAATGGTAGATGGAGTGAATGTAAAGGCACTGACTGCATGCAGTAGAAAACCGATAAATAACTATAAAGATTGCCTACAGCGCATGATTTGCAATACTTCATGCACAGAATGTTTTCTAGGAACCTGCGCCAAATGTCCTGGAACTGAAAATATCAATGAACAACTTCTGAAGATATTTGATGACAACATGATTGACACCGTTACATACAAACAATGGGTTCGTGAAGAGAGAAGCACATTAAAAACGTTGACATCCGAAATAGACGAATATTTGCAATCCTTAACAGATGGTTTAGACAAATTGCTGTTGCATTCCTTTATCGTTAAAAAACAGACAGAGTTTTTAAATGATAAGAAAAACAACTTAGCAAAAAATGAATGCATAGTTTTGTGTGATTTTTCCGAAAATTATGTTTTTGTTGTTCAAAGCTCTGTTCAAGGTATTCACTGGAATAATAATCAGGCAACAATTCATATTTTTGCAATATACCACCGTGATGAAAATAAAAAACTACAAATAAAAAATTTTGTCTGCATATCTGACTGTTTACATCACAACACAACTGCTGTACATTTGTTCCAAAAATACGCGATCAAATTCATTAAAAAAATTAGTACAGATATCAAAAAAATTTTATATTTTTCCGATGGATCGGGTTCACAATACAAAAATAAAAAAAATTTTATTAATTTAACTCATCACAAAGCAGACTTTGGTTTGGAAGCAGAATGGCACTTTTTCCCAACGTCATACGGCAAAGGACCATGCGACGGCTTAGCTGGTACCTTAAAGAGGAATGCTGCAAGAGCTAGTCTTCAACGAATACATAATCCAATTCAAACACCAAAGTAATTATTTAACTGGGTTAAGGAATGTTCACCAAATATTGTGTGCCATTTCTCAACATCAAAAGACTATGAAGCTGAAGAAAATAAGATTAAACACCGTTTCGAAGCAGCTACATCAGTTAAAGGCACATTAAAATATCACTGCTTTATTCCAAATTCCAAAAAAGTATTAATGGCAAACATATTTTCTTCTTCAGACATTACAGATTATGTATTAATTATGAAATGAGTATTAATAAAATCGCTATAAAAGCCATACATAAAAATAATATTTTGTTTTTAGCTCCTTACAGCTTATTTCCTATAACATTTCTGATCTGTGAAGAGTATTTTTGCAACTGTAGCAGAATAATAAATAAAACCAAAAAATGTAGGGGTAATTATGTGCTGCAGTTATGTAGGTAGTTCAAAAAAAAAAAGAAAAAAGTTTATTTAACGGTTTAATTATGTTAAAACTCATAATTTAAAAACAGAAATGATGCGGAACTAATTTAAAATGGTTATGTGTTATGTATAATTTAATATATGGTACATTTATTTTAGAAATAAAAAGTAAACATTTTTGTATAGATTTTCTTCGAAAATTGATTTAATGGTATTAAGGTGAGTATGAGCAATGTGTAGGACGCCTGATAAATTAATTTTTTTTAATTACTTCTAAAAGGAATATCACAGTAGAAATATTTATTTTTTAAGTAGAATTTATATATTAATTTGAACCAAAAAAAAAAAAATTTGTGTGATATGTTCCTTTTTTTGTTTTAATGAAAAATCGTGAGTATGTGTTTGGTCTGATATGAAGGATAAATAAATTTTTAAAAGTACTTCTAAGGGCAACATCATCCTGAAATTTTTGGATTTTATCTAGAATTTTATTACTTATCGAAATTAAAAATATTATGTAAGGATATTTGTAGTATATTCTTTGAAAATTCATTCAATGCAAATGTAGTACGCTTGTGCTTGATGTGTTTTTGCGGGAGAAAAAAAAATATTAAAAAATTTCAAAAAATATTGGTATCTCAAAAATCAAAAATTATTTCGTAGTAAAATTAAAAACTGAATCTAAATAAAATATACAAAAATAATAAAAAAAGATAAAAAAATTTTCAAAACAGTTTTGAGAAAAAAAATAGTTTTAAAATTTAACGGTTAATATTAGTACTTAAATATAAACAATTTTAATTGTTTAAACAATTTCATAAAAGTTCAATCAATTATCTTTGAAACGCTGTAAATTTCAAGTTTCTATCTTTTATAGAACTTGAGATGTAGCCATTTGAAAATGTATCTACAATGCCAATTCTCAAAACCCTATGGGTTCATATCTCCTAGGAAAAGAATTACAAAATTTTTTCCCGAGAAACGCGTCTTCTTATTTTATGAAAGGAATTCATAAAAAAAATTTCAGACAAATCGGAGATCATGAGGTTAAAAAGGTGTCTGAGTTGTAAAAGAATGACCCATATATATTTTGTCCAGTTTTATGTTTTATTTGTTTCAACGTATTATGGCTGTAACTGTTGCTCATATATATGGGTCATTCTTTTACAACTCGGACACCTTTTTGACCTCATGATCTCCGATTTGTCTGTAATTTTTTTTATGATTTCTTTTCATAAAATAAGAAGACGCGTTTCTCGGGAAAAAATTTTGTGATTTTTTTTCTAGGAGATATGGACCCATGGGGTTTTGAGAATTGGCATTGTAGATACATTTTCAAATGGCTATATCTCAAGTTCTATAAAAGGTAGAAACTTGAAATTTACAGCGTTTCAAAGATTATTGATTGAACTTTTATGAGATTGTTTAAACAATTAAAATTGTTTATGTTTAAGTACTAATATTAACCGTTAAATTTTAAAACTATTTTTTTTCTCAAAACTGTGCAAAATTTTTATTTTTATATTTTATTTAGATTCAGTTTTTAGTTTTACTACGAAATAATTTTTTTTTTGAATCCGTTATTTTTTGAAATTTTTTAATATTTTTTTTCTCCCGCAAAACACATCAAGCACATGCGTACTACATTTTTATTGAATGAATTTTCAAAGAATATACTACAAATATTCTTATTTAATATTTTTGATTTCGATCAGTAATAAAATTCTAGATAAAATTCAAAAATTTCAGGATGATGTTGTCCTTGGAAGTACTTTTAAAAATTTATTTATCCTTCATATCAGACCAAACACATACTCACGATTTTTCATTAAAACAAAAAAAGGAACATATCACACAAATTTTTTTTTTTTTGGTTCAAATTAATATATAAATTCTACTTAAAAAATAAATATTTCTACTGTGATATTCCTTTTAGAAGTAATTAAAAAAAATTAATTTATCAGGCGTCCTACACATTGCTCATACTCACCTTAATACCATTAAATCAATTTTCGAAGAAAATCTATACAAAAATGTTTACTTTTTATTTCTAAAATAAATGTACCATATATTAAATTATACATAACACATAACCATTTTAAATTAGTTCCGCATCATTTCTGTTTTTAAATTATGAGTTTTAACATAATTAAACCGTTAAATAAACTTTTTTCTTTTTTTTTTTGAACTACCTACATAACTGCAGCACATAATTACCCCTACATTTTTTGGTTTTATTTATTATTCTGCTACAGTTGCAAAAATACTCTTCACAGATCAGAAATGTTATAGGAAATAAGCTGTAAGGAGCTAAAAACAAAATATTATTTTTATGTATGGCTTTTATAGCGATTTTATTAATACTCATTTCATAATTAATACATAATCTGTAATGTCTGAAGAAGAAAATATATTTGCCACTAACACTTTTTTGGAATTTGGAATAAGGCAGTGATATTTTAATGTGCCTTTAGTTGATGTAGCTGCTTCAAAGCGGTGTTTAATCTTATTTTCTTCTACTTCATAGTCTTTTAACATTGAGAAATGGCACACAATATTTGGTAAACATTCCTTAACCCAGTTAAATAATTCCTTTGGTGTTTGGATTGGATTATTTATTCGTTGAAGGCTAGCTCTTGCAGCATTCCTCTTTAAGGTACCAGCTAAGCCGTCGCATGGTTCTTTGCCGTGTGACGTTGGAAAAAAGTGTCATTCTGCTTCCAAACCAAAGTCCGCTTTGTGATGAGTTCAATTAATAAACTTTTTTTATTTTTATATTGTGAACCCGATCCATCAGAAATCTAAATCATTTTTTTAATATCCGTACTAATTTTTTTAATGAATTTGATAGCGTATTTCTGGAACATACGCTACATCACAACACAACAGCAGTTGTGATGTAAACAGTCAGATATGCAAACAAAATTTTTTATTTGTAGTTTTTTATTTTCAAGACGGTGGTATATTGCAAAAATATGAATTGTTGCCTGATTATTATTCCAGTTAATACCTTGAACAGAGTTTTGAACAACAAAAGCATAATTTTCGGAAAAATCACGCAAAACTATGCATTCAGTTTTTGTTAAGTTGTTTTTCTTATCATTTAAAAACTCTGTCTGTTTCATAATGATAAAAGAATGCAACAGCAATTTTTCTAAACCATCTGTTAAGGATTGCAAATATTGGTCTTGTATGTAACGGTGTCAGTCATGTTGTCATCAAATATCTCCAGAAGTTGTTCATTGATATTTTCAGTTCCAGGACATTTGGCGCAGGTTCCTAGAAAACATTCTGTGCGTGAAGTATTGCAAATCAAGCGCTGTAGGCAATCTTTATAGTTATTTATCGACTTTCTACTGCATGCAGTCAGTGCTTTTATATTCACTCCATCTACCATTAATCGTACGTTTTCGTGTATGGAGCACACACAAACTGAATGTGTACCGCTTGCTCCTGCCAGAACGCAATGTTGGGGTCCTAATGATACAAATTTTGAAAAACTACATTCAGGATCCGGATGGTTGAGTTTGGAAAGAGTATGCAACTCCTTCAAATTGTTTAGAATGAGCCGTTTTTGCATTTGTGTTCTTT